TCTTACTTAAAGATTTAAGTTGCAGTAAATATCGATTCAGTTCTTCTTTCATGCCAGGTTCAGAACATGAACTTTCCATAAATATTATTTAATTTAGTCTTCATAACTACATGAAGCAGGGACTTTTGAACAAAATGTCCATTTTATGGGTCTGGGGCGATATCGAGGACTGTCCAGTGCTTGAAACACATGCATGGTTACCTGAGTTTGATCCCCATGTAAAAAAAAAAAAAATGAAACAACAACAAAAAAAAAACCCAACATTTTTACATTTTTTTTTTAAAGTGGGCTCTAGTGTTTTGAGCTCGTGTTTCTACAGGTGAGGAGGCTGAGACAGGCGAATACCTGGAGCTTGCTAGTCAGCCAGGCTAACCTAACCGATGAGCTCTGGGTCACAGTGAGAGAAACAAGATGGATGCCTTTAGAAACAAGATGGATGGCTCCTGAGGAACACCACCAGAGGTTTGCCTCCGGCCTCTATATGTAGGTACACACACGTATACATACAGCTGTACACACCTGTACAAGCAAGCATGCACATGCAAGAGTACACACACACACACACCGCAAGCTCATTGTCCCAGGACTTGGGAATCAGGCTAGGAGGATCAGAAGTTTAAGATCATCTTCAGCTACATAGCAAGTTGGAGGCCAACCTAGAGGATGGGCCAGGAAACAAAAGACCATAGCTACTGAGGTGATCTGAGCAACAGGAGCCTAACTCCAAATTCAGAACTTTCTACACTGCTCTAAAATCTTTATTTAGGATCACAGACTATGTGATATGTGAGATCCTGTCTTCTTTCTGCTAACTCTACCCCTGTCTTCCTGCCTTGCATTGCCTGACTTGGACTTGGTTTTCACTATCCCTTGCTAAACTTCTACACGGGGGATTTGCCTGCTCTTTCTTTTACAATTGATCTTATTTTTTAATTGTGTGTATATGTATATATGTGGGGGGGTTGCAAGCCCCCTCAGAGGCCAGAAGGATTTGATCTCCCTGAAACTGGACTTCCAGGCAGTTGTGAACTGCCTAATGTGAGTGCTAGGAACTGAACTCAGGTCCTCGGCAGAGCAGTCTGTGTACTTAATCACTGCGCCAAGTCTCCAGCTCCCTCCTTGCTGTTTCCAGGGGCACCCTTGCAGTCAGTTACTCAGAAAGTCCTGAAGCTTATCTGATGCATTTATGCTGGAGGTGGCTGGACCTGCTCAGGGTGTGTATGTGTGTGTGTGTGTGTGTGTGTGTGTGTGTGGAGGCCACAGAATCTGAACCCTACTCTTGCTTCCTTGCCTCTGCCTCTGCTTTCAGGACGGCAGGGTGTCCCCCACACTCCAGACCCTTAGCAAGGAGTCCTGTACCCTCCCCGGGTTTTCAGAGCAAAGTCACCAAAGCAAGTATCCTTAACGAAGTTTGTTCCCCGGGCTCTGGAGATCCCCATTCCACATCCCTCCAGGGCTCTGGCAAACAGACATCCTGTTTAATCCATTTGCGACTGAAATCTCTTCCAGTGTGTAACACCCGTTTTGTGTTCCAAACTCTTCCTCAAAGCTCACAATATATGTGTCCAGAGGCAACCCTCAAGGACTCTAATTAGCAATGCATTAACAGCAGGCACGGTGGGGGGCGGGTATAAGAGCTGGAGGGGGGGAAAACCCTGTGCTCTCCTGAAATGCTCTGGCACCCTTAGACTGCTGAGCTGATATTGTCCAAGTGACATGACCCCTCTCTAGTGCATTTCCTCAAGGGACCTTTTCTCTGTGAAAACCAAGCACAAACTGACACATTCATTGGGATTTCTTGTAAATATAAGCCTGAGGAGCTCACCCTCCCTTGGGAATTAAACGGGACTTAAAACTGTGGATGAAAGAGTTAAGATTTCACGGAGATGAGGGGCGTAATCGGCAAGCCCCGGCTGAACATTTGAGGAGCAAACATGTCCAGCTGGGCAAAGGTCTTCAGGCTAAAGGCTTGTTTGGAAAAGCTTCCAAAAAAACCCCCAGGCTTTTACCAAAGCTTATCCGTCCCGCTAGCTTTGGAGACTCCGTTCTGAAAACCCAGAGGAACCAGGGGTGGAACGATAACTCTCCGATGACCTGTGAAGAGCACATTGTAGCGTCACTGGAAGCTCAGAATGGAGCAAGAAAGCCAAGGTTCTCAGGCTCAGTTTCCACCCTGGCAGACCCGGAGAAGGTGAAGTGAGAGAAACGCCAAAAACTGGCACTCGCTGTTGGCGTGGCTGTTTTTCTCTGGGCTTTTCATCCCTGTTAGTCAATAAATATCCACAGATTGGGCAGCTGGGAATATGTTTGCCTTGAGAAAAAAGTGAGAGACGGGAAGCTTGGAGTGGTCCCGAAACACTGACTGGAAAACTCAACGTGAAGCGATCCTGGTGTGTCTTGCCTTGGTCATGACTCTAGATTAGATGAGCCGTGCTTCGAAAGAAATGTGGATTCCAGTTCTAGTTTCAGTCTCATTCTCATTAGTGTTTGAGATCGCCTTGCTAATGACTCTAAGATAAAGATTCCTTCCATTGGAAAATGCACTTAGCTCATGGCTGAGTTCTAAAGTGAAGGGAACTAGAAGGTTGTAAGTAGCATACATACTGGGGCCTAGAAGGAAGCTGGACGAGATGCCTCAGTTGACCAGGGCCTGAGGTAACTTTTCCTGGTCTGCTCCATGTATTAATGGCCTGTTAATTTCGGAGCCAGCCAACCATGTGGAAGAAGGGTCCTATCATTCCTCAATGAAGCAGGATCTTTCTTTGTAACACTGGGATGGTCTTATGAATAATAAATGAATTGTGCCAAACTTCAGAGACTTGAGCACTTACTGCAGTTTGGGTTTAGCTAATCTGCATGCATCTGATAGAGATGTGTGCAACAACTTCTTGCCATCTCTTGTTTTATGGAAAGGTGGGTACCCAGAAGCCAGAGGAATTTTCCAAGATTCCAGGATCGTCGGCAAAGGCTCTCTGGTGGCAAGTGTTACTGAATGAGGAGGCATGACATACATACCCGTCTTCACACTGTGGCTCACCACATGGGAGCTTTTGAACAAGCCACTTGGGGCCCAACCTGAGTCTTGGTTTCTCCAGCAGAGAAGGGCTTCTTCACTTGATGGCTAAGAGCACTTTAGCTCTGATGAGCTCTGGCTCTTCAGTCCAGGCTTAGGCATTTTAGTGTCTAAAATACAGCTGTGTGTAGCTCCCAACCTGCTGTAAAAGGAGCAGTGGGCTTCTTCCCACTGCCTGGCTCCCAGCCGCCCAGCTAGCTAGCTTATACCCCGAAAAAACAACACACAAATTGTATTCATTTAAACACTGCCTTGCCCATTAGTTCTAGCCTCTTCTTGGCTTATTCTTATATCTTGATTCAATCCATTTCTAATAATCTGTGTAGAACCACGAGGTCGTGGCTTACCGGGAAAGATTCAGCATGTCTGACTTGGCAGCTTCATGCCAGCGGCTCTCTGCCTCTACCTCCTTTCCCCCAACATTCTGTTTTGTCTACTCCGCCTATCTAAGCTGCTGTCCTATCAAAAGGCCAAGGCAAATCTCTTTATTTAACCAATGAAAGTAACACATAGACAGATGACACCACCAACCAATTGCAGAGGGATGCTCCTGCAGGATGTTCCACAGTAGGAGGATAAATGAGTTCAGCCTCCAAACACGGGGGAACAAAGTATCTTTAGTGATTTGTATGCATGATAATAATAATAATAGCAATGATGCCCATAAATCTACCTTTATTTTTTTCATAATCCTTTTTATCAGTTTCTTTGTGTTTGTCACCGCTTACCTGCTCAGAGGGCAAGCAAACAGTAATAAGCAAACAGAAAAATTAGAAACAGGATACTTATTATTTTCTGCTTTTTGAGATTCAAGAAGAATAATACTTACTGAACCACTTACAACATGTCACATGGTTCATGTATAGTCTCAATTAGGAGCTGTAATCAAAAATAAATAGACAGGCTGTGAACAATCAATGCGTCAAGTTCCTTTTATAGAAGAAACAATTTACCAAGTTTGTGCAAAAGTGTTAAGTAATAAAAGTTAAGCTTGAAACCGGCATTTTGGACTCCAGAGTTCATATTTCTCACAATTCTTTAAAGTAGTCAAAAATACAACCATAATTTAGTTAGAAAAAAATCCTAATTTTATGTAAAAATATAAATGTATTGACTTTTTATTGGAAGATTCAGAGGATGACCGGTCAGCTTCTTGGGGCTGCAATATTTAAACATCTGTGATATAGGCCAAAGAAGACGAAGACTCAGTTTGACTTTGCCCAGTATTTCAGCAGGGGTCCACTTCCTTATCTAGAATGATTCCAGTCAAAAGGATTTTCCAAGCCAGGCACTGGTGGTGCACTCCTTTAATCCCAGCACTCAGGAGGCAGAGGTAGGCGAATCTCTGTGAGTTCAAGGCCAGCTTAATCTTCAGAGCTAATTTCAGGACAGCCAGGACTACACAGAGAAACCCTGTCTTGAAAAACAAAACAAAAAAGGTATTTTACCAGTACATTGGCTAAAAGGCTGCGTGGAGGTAGCTGTCACCTTGGGATTAATGTCAGTTCCTATGTGTCCTAGGCATCTAGCCCTGTCCCCAGTAATCAGTTCTGTAGTCCCTCTAGGGACACAGATGAATACAAAACACACTGAAGATTCAGTTTCTGGAGTCTGTATCGCTCTCTTCAAATTTGCCCGTCTAGGGATCTGTAAGCCTTCAGACCAGCATAGGACTGGATCCTACAACCTGGCTCACCGACTTCCTAGCAGTCTTGGGTGCTTCCAGCTTGATGCAGGGCTAGACACAGAAGAGTTATCCTTAACTGGCCTTGAACAACAAACCCGAGCTAGGTCTGGGCCGCAATAAAAAAAATTGTAGACTGCCTTGCCCTGTACTGCTTCCAAGGTCTGGGGTTAAAAGTCAAGTCATGTGACAAAAGCACCACATTTTCTGTTTGTATTTGCCCCAGAGTGGAAGCCACAGGGCCCAGCCAGTCACCTCCCATGAAACAGGAGGCTATTAAAGCTCCAAATGACTCTGGAGATCCAGCTATTGCCTCTCAGTTCAGTTACCCTCCTCTAGGGAGCCGGGCATCGGAAGATCATTCGCGGTAACCAAGAGAGAATGGGGCAAGGCTGAAGCTAAATCTGGGTCTCCAGGCTCCAGGTCCAGCACTCCTAACGTGACAACTCTCTCAGTACCTTGACATCAGGAAAGAGACTAATTAGCCCAGAAGGCCTTAAGGAGTTCATCTTAGGGTTGTTTAGTGAAAACTTCAGGACCCAGTAAGTAGATCAATCCACTTCCACAAACGGCAGTGCTTAAGGTTAAGTTAGACTGATTCTGTAGCCTGGCAGGGGTGGGGGGTGGGGGTTATCCCACACTGCAGTCACTATGGACAATTTGAATATCCCAGACCTGTTTTTGCTTTGCAAGCAGCCTTCTCAAGGATTGCAATACCCTCCCATTTCTTCTCAGAACAGGTGATTATCCTTTCAAATCGAGTTGCACTGCTCGCTTTCTGGAAGTAGGGTGAGTCTTGCCAGATTAGCACAGGCTGACAAACTACATTTCCCAGAACTCCTTCCACTGCATTACTCCTTCCACTGCATTGTTACCTGTTGATATTGGCCGCAGGAGATGTTTTGAATGATACCTGGCATATAGACGCGAAGCCACCGTGTTTAGACATATAGAAGGTAGCTGGTGCAAGGTGTAGACAACATGTGTCATAGTGCCAGAAACAAGTTGTCCCTGGTTGGCTGGCTTATGTGGTTAAGGAGTGGCACCCGCTGTCACCTCGCAGCTCCTCCAGCTCCTACGCGCTCTCCTCTTAGGGCAACTCTGAATCCCAGACCAGCACAGGCAGGGTGTTCCTGTGGGGTCCAGGCTGTCTTGTTTTCTTCCAACTTACTCCATTCCTCTTTCCCTTTCCCAGCGGTCTGCCCTGTGGGTTCAAGTGAGGCACAAACTGAACAGCCCCAGCCTGACCTATATTAATTAGCCGGCACTTACAGCTGTGTGGATTAAGGCTCAGAAACGAGTCTATATCATAGCTCATCTTTTGCTTCCTTGATGGAAACTGTTCTGAAGTCATCTGTGATTCCTCAGAATTAATCACTTCCCTATCACATAAGTCTATTTTAGTGTATAACACACCATGCTGTTCTTCCATGATCCACAGTCTCTCCACCACTGCTGATGTTAGTGGACTGATAATGCCCTGTGTGCTTGTTTTGGGCCCAACACTGTTGTAAGCACTGTTTAATCCTTACAACCTCACAGTGAAGCAACACATACTATTATTATTTCCATTTTAGAAACAAGGCAACCAAAAACCGAGAAAAGCAAGTGATTGGCCAATGCTCTCTCAACCAGGAAGTGAGAATCCAGAACTCAGGGGGCCTGACCCCAGGACCAACACTCCTCTCCCTGAGGTGGCTCTCCCACAGATGAATGGGCGCTCTGTCTACTTGTCTTGAGGAGAAAATGACTTTTCTACGAAGTCAAAGTTGATGAAAAGAAAAGCTTTATGGCCTAAGATGTTTCTGCTTGGATCTTCAGTGTCGTTGTTTTCAGAAACGAAGCCGAAACTCTAAATAATCCATAGTCAACCCTTGTTGCTAGATCTGCCAAGCAATTTTCACCTGAAAGCAACCAGCACACTCCGTGGGAGACATAAATATTAACCAGACACACCCCTAGATGAGCTTACTTTCCTGCTAGCCCAACAGTGCCCCACCTTGGGTGGAACTTTCTGGGTTTTCTCTGGGGGGAGAATTGAGCCTGGATGGACGGAAGGGTTCCTGCACAGGTGCTAGGCATGCAATTAATATATATCACCTCATTTTTTATATGAACAACGAGATTCATTTTTAACTATGTATCTATTTGGAGTAAGTGCAGACAGGGATGGTTTTGTTTTTCATGGTAGGTTGTCAACAGGTAGCTTCAAACTCAAATGGAAAACCAAGCTTACAGTTCAGACTGAGTAACCGGGGCAGTAGAAAGTGCACACGTGCGTGCCTGCATGTCAGTGTAGGTGGACACCTATAGGAAGGTCACAGGTCAGCATCAGCTATCTTCCTTGTCACTTCTCTGCCTTATTTTTGGAGACAGGAGCTGTCTGGAACTCGTTTATCCAGCTAGACTGGCTGTCCAGGGAGCTTCAGGAATCTCCCCGTCTGAGTCACCAGCCCCGGAATGACAGACGCGCACCAGTATGACCAGCTTTTCCTTGGTGCTGTGGATATGGACTCGGGTCCTTATGCCTCTTTGCTGCAGCACGTTACCCGCGGTGCCATCTCCTCAGCCCCAACTGCTTCCTACTTGGTATTATGCAAACGTCCCACAGAAGCCAAAGCATGAGAAAGGAAAGTAGGATAAAATTTGAATTCGTGATCCGTATGCATGGCCAGACTTGGAGTGGAATTGGATTTATCGCGTCCAACCTTTTATTTACAGATGAGGAAACAGGTTCTGTGAAAATAGATTCTCCAGTTCTGGGAGAAGCACTCAGGAAAGTCTTCCTCCAGGTAGCAGCAGCAGCAGCAGCAGCAGCAGCAGCAGCAGGCTTAGACACTAGGCTTGGAGAGAGCCTTTGTTTTCCTGAATGCAAAGTCCTCATGAAAGGGATTCATCTGCTGCCGGGGCCCAGGACTTCCCACATCTTCTCAATGGGATGCTGCTATAGTAAGATGTTGATGTTCTAACTTGGAGTTCTACTGGCAAGAGAGAGAGACAGAGAGAGAGAGAGAGAGAGAGAGAGAGAGAGAGAGAGAGAGAGAGAAAGAGAGAGAGAGAGAAAAGAAATTGCCATTTCCCATCCTGCTTTGTGTTCTAACCTTTCTCAGACTTTAGTCTAAACTCATACACTCATACATTCTTCATGTACCTGAGAGTTAGCTTCCCTAAAAACCCTGCTATATCCCAATGTCCTTAGGAATCTCACAAGGACAAGGAATTAATCCAAAGGGGAAAGGGATCAAAAAACTTCGAAAAAAAAAAAAAAAAAACACCTGATGGGGCTTGGGCTTGACTTCCCAGTTATTTTTTAAGGATTCCCATTTGAGGAATGCTTCCTTGGAATAAAATATGACCAGTGCAAAAAAAATATGACCAGAGATGTTCCATAGTCTGTGTGGTAGGTAAAACGGAGGCTACAAAAAGAAAGTGCCCTGTCTTATGGGCACACAGGTAGGCTGGGCCGAAGGGCTCTTCATGCAGGGTGTTAACAACCTGAAACTTGGGGACCCAGCTCTCTGCTTTTGAGCATTTGAGTTGTTTTCAATTTGGTTGGAATTGACAGGTTAGATAACATGATGTTCTTAGCTTGGAATACATATCAGGGGACCATACATATGCTTCCACGTCATTGAAAACAAAACACCATCTGCTATTGATTGCTGATGGCAATTTTTATCAATATTTAAATTTGATAGCAATTGAAATTTCATTTTTTTAACCCCAAAATCTTTATTGTTGTGGTTATTGTGATTGTGGTAGGGAAATGAAAAAGTTGGAAGGAAGAATTGTGAACTGCTTGTAATAGCATTGTACAAGGGCAAGAACCCTTGCGTTGCATGTTGAGAACTTGTCTCTGTGGAAATCCACATACATTGTCTATAGTGCTTTTGCAAAGCCCTATGACAGAGTGTGCCTGAACTATCAAACCAGAAAACATATACTTTCTTACTCTCCAGGTGAGCTGAGTTTATGGAGGGGATGAAGACCATGACTGGTCCAGGTGGGAGTTTACCGGGGACGATTCCAGGCAGAGGGGATTATATTTGGAAGGTGTACAGCAGCCCCTAGCTTGGCTACCTAATGCTTCAAGGAAATAGTGGGGAGAGACACGGGAAGGGAGTGGTGCAAGGCCTATAACGTGAAGGTTGTACTTTGAATAGCTTCTCTGGCTGTGCCAGGTAAAAGGAGATTCAACTGTGTGTGAAGGTTGCTCCTTGGGGGCACTTCCAAGCCAAATGAGACAGAAGAGAAAGCACACATCCTCTGTTCCCTTCTCCCTGCTCTCACCTGGCCTTCTTTATCTTGGCTCCTCCTGGTCACTAGGTGAAGCTTGCCTTGCTATGGCTTTTCCCTCCAGCCCCTTGAGTTTAAAATCAAAGCTTTTAAGACTTTAATCCCAGCACTCAGGAGGCAGATGTATCTCTGTGTGCCTAGGCCATCTTGGTCTACAGAGTGAGTTCAAAGACATCCAGGGCTACACAGAGAAACCCTGTCTCTACTTGTCTTCAGGTTTCAGAATCCTCCTCGTTTGCAATGTTCTGGAGTCCTGGCGGCGGGCCTCTGAGTTCTCAAGGAGCCTTGATATGGAGCACTAGACACAAACCTTTCAAACCTCTGCTGGCAGTGCTAGGGGTAGAGATGAATCCTGGATTGTGGGAACAGAGTCACAGTAACTCCTAAGCAAAAGGGGGACTCTCCTAACACAGTGAGGATCCTGCGATTTTTCCTCCCGAACACCACTATGGCCCACAAAGACTGCAGTGAGATTGCTAGGGCTTTGTGGGAAGAAAAGCAAGACCCTGAAACACTGCAGCCTCATCTGGCAGAGGCAGAACATAGCCAGGCCTGCATTTTCTCTACTTTTCCCTTTTGCACAGAAGCATGGATAATTTGGCTGCAAAGCCTGCATGGGTCAAAGGTAGATCACTAGCATCTGCTCTCTCTCTCTCTCTCTCTCTCTCTCTCTCTCTCTCTCACACACACACACACACACACACACACACACACACACACGTACCCCCAGAGCCCTACCTGAAACACACACTTGTGGGTGTCCTCTTATAAAACAGGCAATCCCTACCAGAAGTTTTGAGAAATCGTGAGTGCTCCTGCCCTGGAAGGACCTGCCTCATCCTGTGGTCCTTGCACCATTGTTGGAGCCTGGTTCACACTTAAATGTTGTTTGGTACCCAGACCACCCACAGTCAGGAGACCATTTCCAGACAAACAGGATCTCTTCCTTTGGGATTTTCCAGGCCTGTGTCATACATGGCCCAGGGTCATGCTCTCCTCAGCAGGTAGGGTCAAGAGCTTTTTGTGCGGACTCTCAAACAAGAGTAGCTGCAAGCTAGGTTTATCTGTGATGCAAACCCTGAGCTGAGCTGATTCAATAATTACCTTCTAGACATCACTCCACAAACATGAGGATGCGATCATAGCACTGTATATTGTGTTAGGACTCAGAGGTGTTGTCTCTGCTGACTGACACTGGTCTTATATAAGTCTTAGATCATCACACCTATCAAATGAAGATACCAAGGTTCAAAGAAGCTCACTGACTGGGGCCCAGGTGACATAATTACCTATGAATTATTGGGGGAGAGTCAAAGGTCGACTGGGTTTACTTGATGGGTCTAGCCATCTGGTGGGGGGGGGGAGCTTAAAAATACACACAGAAAGGAGGCAAATGAGCCAGTCTTAGGGATTAGGTGGTAACAAGGTTGAAGGTAAATGAGAGAAGCTTAGAAGAAGTCTGGTTTACGGAGGCACATGGGCCAGCTGCTCACCAACAAGAAGAGTTTGGGAATACCAGGGTGAGTTGGATATTCACAAGCTGGGCAGGGCCTCACACACCTCACGTGAGTTCTAGACACTGTGGAGTCACTCCTGACCCTATTGGTGAACCTGGAGGAATATGGTATGGGGCTGGGAAATGAGATGGATTAAAGAATTCAGGGCAAACAGATGGATTCTGAGCAGGAATGAGGGAGCCAGCTCCCCTGGTTCCCTCGGTCGTCTGTTTTCACTGATGGTTGGGAGGATAGCCCCAGAGTTAAACTGAAGGGCCATGACAGAATTACCAGGAAGCTTGGGGAAAGAAGTCTTCTCTTTCTTCACGCTCTAGCAATGATTTTCTTGGCAAGACACCGTGTTAAATTGTAAGAAGCCCTTGATGGATAAGTTATCAGGTTAGTGTGTCACACCGATAAACAGCACATTTTGTAACTGAAAGTTAATGCTAACCAACTTGAGAAAGTAAAAGCTTCAAAGAGGAAGTGTTAACCGGCTGGAAAAACCCAGGGATTTTTTTCTTAAAAGAAAAACAAAAAACAAAACAGATTAAATTATAAGAATACACATCTCCAGCATCCTGTAGAGCTATCCTTAGGGAAAGGGGAAAAAAAAGTCAAGTATGTAATTAGGGGTGTCTCTGTATTCCACCTGCATCCCCAGTGCTGTGACACAGAGCCCTGCACCCCAAGGATGCAGGCTCTGCTGCTGGGTGTGAGGCTTTCAAAGGGCCTATCTTGCTCCCTTCCTGACAACAGCTGCCTGGTTACCAGCAGGTAATCCTTTCCGTGTCAGCTCTAGAGAACACAGAGGTATGTAAGTCATGAATGGCAACGCAGTGGCGATCAGCTGTGTATTAAGTTCCCGGGACTTGACAGGCCCTGTACTGGACAAATAGAGTGATATCCTGGACCAGGACGCAGGGTGCTTGCCCAGAGGAGCTTCCACTCTACTAGTCCCTGCAGGTGGGAGAGGCCACAAAGGCTACTGCGTGCTCAGAATGGTAAATAGAAGCTGGAGTGGGAACCCAGAGTCTATCACTTACAGCTTACACTGCAGTGATCCTAGATAAGTTTCTGTCACTTACAGAAGAGCAATGAAGGGCCCTGTACTTCACAGTGTGACCCAGACACAGTTGAAGACGGACGCTTCAGGGGATATGGGTATGATCATGGGACAGATCACTGAACAAATACAGTTACCAGTGAACTGTTTTATCCTTTTGTTTTCTGAGGCAGGATCGGCATGGGTGGACCAGGCAGCTCCCTGACTCCCAGGCTCCTTCACTTTACCTGCCTTAGCTTCCACAGTGCCTGGGACTACAGATGTATGCCCCATGCCTGGAGAGATGTTTAATTTTTATAAAGGGAGGGAAATGTTCAGCATTTAAGTGCATAACCTGAAATATATACCAGTTTTTGTCATACTCTTTCCTACTTTTCCAGATCCTTTTGTTTGTATTTGCATTATATCTACTAACCAGAAAGTAAATAAGTCAAGAACATCTGTACAGAGACAGGAATCTACACACAGGGAGGACGCCATACGAATAAGCAGACACCACTTGTAAGTCAAAAAGGTGGCCGGGAACAGATCCTTTCTTCTCAGCTCCCGTAAGCAACCGGTTATGCCCACACCTAGACTTTGGGCATCTAGAGTCATGCCTGGAAAACAGTACCTTCTGATGGTTACACTGGCTCAGTCAGTCTGCGCTGTGTGGCATTCCCAGCAAAGAAATCAGAGTGACCTTTTGCCACGTCCTTCACTGCTATTTGTTTATTTGCCTCTTATCTGGCTTTTTAGGCACCAAGACCCATAATCTCCAGAAGAGACCCCTTACGCAGCTTTTCAGGCAATACCTTGTAACTACTCCCTCAGAGCCTTTAAAATCTAAGAATCAAGGGTTGCATTCCATGAGAATCTCAACTCCAAAGCGTGGTAGGGCAGATGGCGTACCCTGGGCCAGGGTGGGTTGTTGTTGTTGATATATGCTAAGCACTTGATAGACAGGGAGAGCCGTCTTGGTTCCTAAGTGTCTCTAGTCTCGTCCTATGGCAGATTACAGTTTGCTCATTCTAAGGAGCTCACTGAGGGTGGAGATGGGCACAGAGGCATGACACTCACCTGTGGAGGTGCTAGAAGAGAGGTTGGCACACCACTGCCGCCTGCAACACACTGATCTACAGTAAGGACCTTTTTCCTTAGTGGCCTGTTGCCTACGCCGATGCTCAACCTGTTGGTTCAATATCAGGAAACCAGAGGCCTTTGGATTTACCAAGTGAGCTGTAATAAGCTTCAAGGCCTCAGGGATCATTGTGTGTAGAACAAAAGGGTTTGAACAAATTGGAGGCCTGCCACGTTTGCCAGCAAGGCAGTCTCAGGATTAGAAGAGCCACGTGAAACACTAAGGGAGGAAGAAGCCCCTCACTAAAACAAAAACAAAAACAAACAACAACAACAACATGATTAGAGCTTCCCTGCCAGCTGAGATGTTTTGAGTTCCTCCGTGATTCTAGAGTTCTAGAATTCTCAGTCTCAACCCTAAAAAGGAAGTACAGAGGGCATGGGTCGGGGAGGAAAGCAGGAGGGCTGCCAAACCCAGAGAACATTCCGGTGAAGGAACACAGGCTTTCTTCAACTATGCCCTGGATCATGCCACTTCTTTGCTCAAGTCCTCCCTCGATGCCCCATTTCTCTAGAGTGACGCCCCAAGTCCCTGAAAGCACTCACATAGTCTTGCAGGCTTAGCCCCATGTTGCCTCCTTGACCTTAATGCCCACTCCTTTCCCGTGCCCCTCTACCCCGACACGATCCAATGTTGCTGCAGCTACATGGCCTCCTTGTCTCTAGAATGTACTCCGAGGCTGGCTCTCGGGCAGGAACCTCTCTGACTATTTGCTTGGTCAGCCCCTGCTCTCCACTAAGGCCACTGAAATCTCATCACCAGTCTGTGAATCAGGTCCCTGGCCACCCCAAGCCAGGACTTGCTGTTGGGACGTAACCCCTCTTGGCACAACAGATCCCTCTCTTGCTGGTCGTGTTGAAAAACATTGGTCTTTCTGCTAGAAAGCGAGGTCTACGGAGGCAGTGTGAGGAGCCTAAGGTGCCTGGAGCACACCTGCTCAGGCAAAGCTGCCCAAATGGAAGAGAATGCAGCTAGAGAGAACCTAAGCATTACCTTTCGTGAGTTAGTTTAAACTTCATCTTGCCCTGGCAAAGACAATACAGGTTTCGAATAAACTTGCAAAGATGCATTGTGTCACATATTTCCCCAGAGACTAGTGACGTTAATAATAACATCACTAGATACAATTCTAACAGCTCAGGCAGAAGAACCTTTGGGTTGCAAATGGCCTTTCCTCCTCTGCCCTTCCTTCCCCATCCTCTGCTTTCTCCTCCTCCTTTCCTCAATTCCCCTCTCCTCTCCTCACATTAACTCCCAGACAGGCCCTATCTTTTGAGGCCAGGGAGGGCAAAGAGGAGTATGCCATGAACAGATAAAGAGGCTTATCACGGCTTCACGGTTGGAGAGAACAGGAGCAGGGCTGCCAGTGACCTGGGCCTTCCTAACTCACAGCTTGTCCCTGGTTCTTTGGGCAGTGCAGCCATTTTTCCAGTCAGGCCCCGGTTCCTCCGCTCTGGCAACCGGGTGCTTTTCTTTTCTGACAAGGTGAAGATGGCAGCTGCCACACGGAGGCTGGGATGGCCCCGAGCAGCTGCGACCTACAAAGCAGTGAGTCACCAACATTTCTGTCCTCTGCCCTGCACACTCTCCCTTCACTCAGTCCTGTGCCCTGTGCCCACAGCACCAGAGGGAGGAGGTGCTGCCAGTCGCGGCTTACCACAGGGTCCTCAGGCGCCCTGCAGCCTGGCCGCTGGGATGCCATCTGGCACCCACCACAGCTGCAGGGCCTCCAGCCTGGCCTAGAAGTCCAGAGCGGGGGCTTGGCAACAGTGCAGGGAAGCCCTCTGGCCTCTTCTCATGCCCTGTCCTTTCGCAGATGGAACAAGTTTTTGATTGGCTCCAGGTCTCACACGCCTCTGCTGTCCTGTCAGGAGAATGAGTGGCGCTGAGATTCCTTGATCTTGAGTTTTCTCAGCCCTGGATCCCCTGATATTCAGGAATGAGCCTTCGCTCCCATCCCCCAGTAGGAAAAGTACTAAACACGGAGAAATGGAGAATCGCAAGCAGCAGAAGAAGAGACCGAGGGAGAGAGCCGACAGGGAAACGACCACAAGGATCAGATGACTTAGCATAGGTCAAGCATGTAGTCAGTGGTCAAATATTTGCAACGGCAGTAGTGAGAATGACATCTGTCCTGAGTCTCAACGGCACCTGCCACCCACCCTACGCCAGGCCCTCGCCTTCTGCGGCCATGTACGCTCTATACTATCAGCATTCCCCTTTGCCCCATGTCTTTCTAAAACATCGCTGCATCGCGCATTGTTTTCCTGTTCAAAAATCCTCCACTGACTCCCGGGCGCCCCTCGAGATAGGTACTAATGGTTCACAGTGTCAGTCAAGAGTCCCAGCACACGAAGCCACCTCCTCACTTTCCCACCATACTCAATTCCCACACCTGTCTTGTGCTTTGGTAAACCAGCCCTCAAGGCCCCACAGCAGGTGATAGCTGCTGATTTCTGATGAAGAGAAATTCTCCATGGCTCGGAGGCCAGAAAACTCATGTTTGATAATGTGTGACCTTCAGTCAGTGGTGTGACCGCCCTGAGCCTCGGTGTCCCCATCCCGGCAGAAGGGTTTGATGATGGCGCCTCTGGCGGGACGATGAGGACAGAAGCAGGTTGGAAGGTAATTGATCTCCAGTGATTCCCACTGAGTATCTCTGTCCCTTAATCACACCCTGTATTGGCTGGGTTCTCCCTAGGACTTAACCTTTTCCTGGCCATCTCAGCAATCAGTCCCCATATCCCCTTCCTCATACACTCATGGAACTCCCTGCTTTCCCTTTGTAGGGCAGTGATTTGACTGGTTTTTTTTTTCTTTCTCTTTTTCTTCTGCCAGAAGAGGAAATCCTTCTGTAGGAAGGGGTCTTTCACCCACAGCTGTCTTTCTCAGCATCTCGGACAGCGCCCAGCACTTCCACGTTGTCAACCGGAGTACACTGGACAAACGGGTAGGGCAAAGAAAGTAGAGTGTGGATATGGATCAGTGAGGTTTGGGGGACGCACCTTGAAATCCTAAGGGTGGGCGATCTCTTCCCCAATTGGGATACAAGATGACTGCGTGCCAGCTTGAAGTTAGGAACATCTCCTCCTGTGAGTGGATAAAGCCACCAGGGAGCCTAGACTGGCGATCTTTACTCAGGACCATGTTGCAATGGAAGAGGTTGAGTGTGATGGACAAGTGAGGACAATGAGTTCGTGGGGAGGGAGGTGGCAAGAAAGGCAAAGAAAAAGTGAGACTTTGTTCAGGTTTACCTCTTACCTGCTGGGGCTTCTTGGAGAAGTTACCTATTCTGCTCCATGAAATAGAGGAAGCAAGCTCTTAAAAGACAAAACTCAACCCAAAACAAAGCAGTGACTCTCAAAGGTGAGTTCCCCAAGCAGCAATGGAGTTTTATAAAAGAGCAACAGGAAGCCCTGTGGTGGCGCACACCTTCAATCCCAGCACTCGGCAGACAGGTAAATCTCTGTGAGTTCGAGGCCAGCCTGGTGTATAGAGAGAATTCCAGGACAGGCTCCAAAGCTACAGAGAAACCCTATCTTGAGAAACACAGACACACAGAGAGACAGATAGAGAGAGATAGAGACAGAGAGAGAGCACGCACTAGGATTGCCGATGTGTTCTGATAGTCTGAACCAGCAGCTCCACAGAGGAGGCCAGCTAGCTACTTTTTTTTTTTATCTGTCCCTCAGATATTCTGAGGCATGGTCAAGTTTGAGAACCACAGGGCTATGCACCCGGGGGCTTCCAACGTCCTTTCCTTTTGGTTTGTTATTGCAACAGACTATTTTCCTTCCAGTGAAGTCTGAGGCCCCTGGCTGATGAAGGAGTCGGCCCCACACATTCCCACTCTGCACTCTGCTCTGGAAAATCCTTGGCCTCTAAGACCTCAAGGATGTCTACAGTTTAGGACCCTGGAGTGCGCCTAGATAAAGGTTCCAGTGGTTGATCGTTTGAGAGGGAATCCTATGTCCAGTGGCCCAGCAGGCCTAGGCCAGGATTCATGTCAGAGGCCCAGGGAAGCCCTAGTGAGGTGGGCGGCTGAGGTTCAGGTGTGTGACAGTGTAATTCCCTTACCACAGAGGAGGCAGCCACTGAGGACATGAGGGAGATCTGCTCTGTGTTCTGGGAGGTTGCGGTCACAGTTCGTTTGCACTCTGGCTGCCTTTGGAGATAAGATGGCACCACCCTGATTCTTAGATCCCTTTCATGGGGCTTGGCAAAATACCATGAAGCAGTCAACAGGCTGCTTAAAAAATACTCACCCACCGGGACCCACAGACTCCCTCCCTCCCCCTCCCCCCATGCCATGATGACTCACTTCAAGTCTCTTCCCTGTGTCATTTTATGGAGTCATGATGATGGTGAGGAGGCGCTTTGGGGTACAGAGTGGGTGGGGAACCCCGTGGTTAGAGAACCTCACAACAGGCAACAGAAGCAGAAGTTGAATGGTTTGGATAATGCTCCGTGTGATAGATGGAGGCAGAAGAACCCAGAACCAAAGAAAGGGCAGGCATTCCTTCGCTGGTGGGGTCAGCATTCAAGCCTCCACTCATTTATCCCAAAGCAGTGATAGTGAGAATAGGAGAGAGCAGGAAGAAGAGGCAGGAGGCGGACTGGACCCTGGAGCTTGTGTGACAGTGGGCACCTTCCTAACCTCCTGGCAGATGCGCCTCCAGCAGCCAGGCAGAAGGAAGTCTCTGTGGTCTGGGGCCCCACCCCTGGATAGTTCTGTAATGGTGCCATTCTCAGCAGAAGAGGAAGTACCATGGCATGGGCAAGTGTTGCTGTCTTCCCACGGAGGGACGGAGGGACGCCCCTCATCTTGGTCCAGGTGCTATGGATTGAGACCTGTACCTCTTCCTATCCCTGGGTCTTGGTCTCTGAAAACAGGGAATGGTAACAATGCCAGCGCAATCCCTCTGCCTAGACACAAGAAAAAGGACAAAGGGTAGGGCTGGTCATCCTGACATCTTTCCGTTATGTTGCCAGTCATAGGAGTTTCACATCTCATCTGATGCCCTCCGTCAAGTCTGGCCACAAATTCTTATCCTTGTAAGGAAGACAAGATCTAAAGAGGTTGATTTCTCCCAGGGTCACACAATCTGGGGGTTCTTGGGTGTTTTGTTTTGGGGCTTCGTCATTTTCTTACACCTTTCTGCTGTCTCACCCATGACATGCAAGGCGTTTTTCAAGAAAATGCTTCCTCCTGATTGTGACACCATTGCTTCATGTTACTCCAGACGCTTGCCACCTTCGCGAACAACATCCCATTTCACCCCATTCCTGGAGCTCAGCTTTCCCCCTAACAGTCTGTAACTCCGTTTCCACTTGACAAGGCTGTGACTTCCACCCTATTTGCCTCAGAGCCAAGACCGAATTCCTCAAGATTCCACAAGGAATTATTGCTTTCAATGAGGTCAAAGGGAAACACCGCTTTTTTGAGGATTCTTGGGAATATAACCTGCCCTCTAAAGTGGTTTAAGCTCAGAGATGGTGAGACTTCATAAAAGAAGGAAGGGTTGGGGGGCTTCACCGTGGGGGTGCTCTTCTCCACGGTTGGAAATCACAGTGTGGGCTCAGGCGCCTGTTGCTCTGGAGCTAGGCCCCTTCTCCACCTGTTCTCATGGTGGCTCATCCCTCACTTGTCTCTGAATTTTCTCTTCCCCACTCTTCTGAAGACAGGATGGCAACAGCTGTCTATAAAATGCTTTGCGACCAGCCGTCAGGCACTGTCCAGGAGCCAAGAATTGTGGAACAAATGAGCTCAGCCCAAACTCATCTCCCAAGGCTTTCAAGTGTGAACTACTTGTAGAAACCCCAAACGTCATGGCCAGAAGGGGTATTTTAGCAGTTCACGTACCACATCACCTACTCAACCTCACCATCCCTGAAGCCTCTGTTGTGAACCCCGCCTTAGGCCTTCTGGGCCACTGGACCAACACTGGCTGCCTTCTCAAGTTGAGATGGCCCCATGTTGTGCTTCTCAGGACAACCGGCTTCCCTTCCAGAAGGCAACCCATTTCCTGGCAGCTCATCATTGTCAAGCAGCTTTGTCCTTAAACAAGTAGGAAACTGTTTTTTCATTCCCCCGCCCCCCTCTGAAAGGACCGCCATGGTGAGCCTGCCTCCCATCTCCATTTTCTCCAGTAGACAGAAGGCAGCCTTACAGTCCTTTCTTTACAGGGGGCTTGATATCACTTTCTCCAGTGAGCCTGCAAAGGTGGCTTTAAGCATTGAGTTCTACCTTCCCCTGCTCCATCCCTTTTTATCTTGGAATGAGGGCTTTCTGCATCCTCCATCCCCACATGCTTGTGCCCTAGAGGGGCCTGCCAGTTTGCCACCAGAGTTCTATGGTTGGGGCCTGCGTAGAAGAACACCGACTTGAATGAGAAAACTGAAAAATAAAAAAGGATGGATGGAAGGGTGAGGCAGCTACAGAGGGTGAGGGCTACTGCCGGGAGATGGAGAAGGAACATGTTCACTCTCTACAGCATGCCTGTGGCCCCGGAAGGGATATTCATCACAGACATACTGTGTTTAGTCTTCTAGTGACCGCACACCGCAAGACTCTTTCATCATGAAGGATGATGCTTAAGGCTGCAGATATAACAGAACAACGCTTCAGAAGCACTAGATCTCGTACATAGTAAAGAGTGTCTGAGCTCAGATCTCTGACTTTCTAGGACTCGTTTTGTATTTGAGAAACATCAGATCGACAGTCAACAGATTTAAATCCAAAACCCTAGGTTGGAGTATAGATTTCCATCTTTTTTTCTTTTGGCTGTGAGATATTGATCAAATCATTTCAGTTTTGTGACTCTCAGATTCTCAATCAATAAAATGGAAGAAGAGCATCCCTGAGGTGTGTATGTGTGTGTGTGTGTGTGTGTGTGTGTTGTTGCTGATGCTTTCAGGATTAAATGTGCCACAATTTCTTTTATAACCTACTTCAATTATTGTTAATTAATTATTGTTGTTATTAGAATGGCCAGTCTCCGGATCATCCAGTAATACAAGTTATCAAATGCTAATATGTAGTAAAACAGAGTGGCAGACATTCTTTTACTACCCTCAGCGTTTCAGGATGCTATATTGCATAAAAACAGTTCTGAGCTTCTACCGGAGTCCTCCTACATTAACTAGTGAGATAACTTGTTACCGCCTGCACCCCAGTCTGCTCAAATGCTCAAATACAAACAATGAAACTTTTGTATTCCATTTTGGTTTGAAATCTTTGTAACCTATCAGGATATGTTCCCATTTGTGTGGGGAGCAAATGAAGTCTGGAGTGGATGGGTATTGTTAATATTGGTGTAAAAGACCCCATAACCTCAGACATATAGTAATTGCAAGGCCTTGGCCAGGCTAGAATGTGAATACTGAGAACATCTACAGAAAGTCTCAACACAGCTTCCTCCTCCCAGGGTTCTCTCTCTCTCTCTCTCTCTCTCTCTTTCTCTCTCTCTCTCTCTCTCACGCACACACACACACACACACACACACACACACTTCTTGTTCTGCTGTATACAGTAAACCTGCATTTTTTTTTTAGTTTAAGCTTGATTTTCTTTTTTTTTTCCATTCAAAAATTTTCACTTCCTCCCCTTCTCCCATTCCCCTCCCACTCCCCCATTCCCCTTCTTCCTTCTCCCTCCAGTCTTAAGAGAGGGCAGGGTATCTGTCCTGTGGGAAGTCCAAGGCCCTTGCCACTCCATCCAGGCCTAGGAAGGTGTGCATCCAAGTAGACTAGGGTCCCAAAAAGCCAGTACATGCAGTAGCTAAAAGTCCCAGTGCCATTATCAATGGCTTCTCAGTCAGCCCCCATTGTCAACCATATTCAGAGAGTCAGGTTTGATCACATGCTGGATTTGGTGAGCTCCCATTAGAACAGGCACACTGCCTCAGTGGGTGGACCAACCCCTCGCAGTCCTGACTTCCTTGCTCATCTTCTCCCTCCTTCTTTTCTTCAACTGGACCTTGGGAGCTCAGTCCAGTGCTCTGATGTGGATCTCTGTCTTTATCTCCATCCATTGCCAGATGAAGGTTCTATGGTGATATTTGAGATATTCATCAGTGTGACTATGGGACAAGGCCAGTTCAGGCACCCTTTCGTCTGCTGCCCAAGGACCTAGCTAGGGACATCCCCGTGAACACCTGGTATCCCCTCTAGAGCCAAGTCTCTTGCCAATCCTAAAATGGCTCTCTTAATTAAGATATCTTCTTCCTTGCTCCTACATCTGCCCTTCCTCCATCTCAACCCTCCCATTCTCCCAAGTTCTCCCCAATCCTTCCCTTCTCCCTCTCTCCCCCCTCTCCCCTTCACCCCACCCCACCCCAACTCCCACTCCCATGCTCCCAACTTTTGTCCAGTTATCTTGTCTGCTTCCAATTTCCAGGAAGATCTATATATGTTTTTCTTTGGGTTCACCTTATTATTTGGCTTCTCTAGGCTTGTGAACTATAGGCTCAATGTCCTTTGTTTATGGCTGGAGTCCACTAATGAGTGAGTACATACCATATTCATCTTTTGGGGTCTGGGTTATCTCATTCAGGATAGTGGTAAACCTTCCTCCTTATTCAGGTATAACATAAATGTGCCAAGTCCTCGGACTGTTGATGTGTCACCATCACAGCACACAGCCTACACAAAGCCAGCTTGTCGGTGTGTGTGTCCGTGTGTCCTTCAACCCTCGCAGCCCCAGTGACGACAATCCCTAAGCTGTACAGATCAAGGCACAGTTGCCTTTGTAGTATATCAAGTTACGTTAGAAAGAATTTACACTCAGCCTACGACCCTTGCTTCCCATTGCTCCAGCAATTCTTTCATTCATTTATTTATTCAGTGACCACACTCACTACCTCTGCTATACAGAGTGCAGGCTTCAATATGGCTCTTCTTCTAAAGAACTCACTCTGTAGTTGGGGGTATGAGACACATGCGCAAATGACAGCCTTGTATAACAGGGTGGAGTAAATGCTGCAGGTGTTTATAAGTACGTAGATGTGAGAACTCAGGGAGGAGTGACCAGGCCCCTACCACGAGGATGGGGGAAGGTTCTACCTGTTCTGGATAAGGGACCTCACAATAACTGTGGTAATCTGCCATTTTCGTAAGTTTGGCTTATGATTTTCTCTTTTTTTTAGCTGTGTGACTCTGGAGCTCTGTGTCTCTCAACTTTGTCACAATTCTCTTCCTCCCCTAGGATCACCCTGACAGTTAGATGAAGTGATACAGGTTGGGCACACCGCGTTCCCTGCTCCTAGGCTGGTCCCACTGTGATTACACGCTGGAGGTGCTGGGCAGCTGAGCATCCCTGGGAGAGCATAGTTGTTGTGAAAGCCATGGAAGGGAGACGAGACTGCTCCAAGGAGAAGCAGGCAGAGCAAAGTCCCAAAGGAAGAAAGTTTGCAGAGAAACATGACTACCTTGTGCGTTTGTGCAGCAGAATGTGTGGGCGATCACAGGGCGGGGAAGGCTGGAGACGACGGAGGCTTGGGTAAAAAAGTAGGTCGCTGATCTTGGAAGGCCAATGATTCTGATCTTGGTAGAGCAGGCTTTCTACAAGGAGGCACATGCTGCTGGGGGGGAAATAAAAATTGCACCCAAATTTTCATATATATGTTTACTTTTACTTTAAAAAATAATAGAAAAACATCGACATCACTGCTATTTTACCCTATTTATATATTTAATATAAATATTAATTTATTTATTAAAAATTCATAATATTTTTATTATAAATTTATTTATTATAAACAAATATTTTTATATTCAAATATTTAAATGATATTTAAATAATTAAATTATATTATTTAAATAAATAAATAAATAATATATTTATTATATGCCTTGACCCCTTTGCCCGGTGGCTTCTTGTTACATCGGCAGCTAAGGCTTTTCTGAGGCACTGTAAGAATGGCAGACTTGGGGAAGGGGGAGGGTGAATCTGCTATGCTCACTCCTCCAGCCTGCTTCACGGTCTATGGATTCCTTACATAGACTACACCAAGTAAACTCTCACAGGAACGGACCAATGTTGAGCCATTCGGACACTAACCGGGCGTGACATGTTGAGCTCCTGCACCGGGGCCCTGAGGCGGGACAGCCATAGACAGGCACCCGTATTCTTTAAAGATACCTGTGTAAACCCTGGGGGATGAAGAATAGACCCAGAAGAAACAAGCAATTGGAAAGATCGTGACGGGGCTTCCTGTTGTTCTGTTTTTCCTTTAGTTACACTTTGGGGACCAGAGATGTCCTGGTCATATGGAGCAAATCGTAGGCAAATGAATAGATATTCAGGGGCAGAGCTTAAAAAATAGATTTCCTGCATCAATGTTGAATGGTGAAGCCTCCCGAGGCGCTAATTAGGCCCAAGAACACAGTGCAATGCTGTTGAGATGAACACATTTAGAAGCTTTCTCTTATACTAATAATTAATAATTCTCTTATTCTATAATTTCTAGCTTTGATTGGTTATTATGTGAATAACATATTGGGATGGATTTACTGGAGTAAGTTCGCATGTGAGCCATGAGTCTCTAGGGCTGCCCAGGCAAACTATTTTTACCAACAGAGCTTACCATTCCGGAAAGCCGGTTCGCTGCTTTAGGCTATTCAGAACCATCACCAAGATGCTCAGACAGCAGGAGTTAGGCTCTGAGCTGGATTGGCAGGTGGGGGTGGGGTGGGGTGTGTGTCCTCATCTCATTTTCTCAAGGAACCCCAAAAGTGTGGAGAAGGAATGTAGGAGGTGAAGTCAGGAGGTGAGTTGTAAAAGAGCGTGGCTCTTTTTCTCCCCCAAACTTTCCTCTCTTCAAGGTAAGCCACTGACTTCAAACCACCAGCAAGAACTAGGTGGGTCTTGTTCTGTGAATCAGGCCTCCTCTGGCTGCAACCCAGGAAGAAGGCAATGGGAAGCCTTCGGCTCCTTCCTTTCCTCCTGATTTCAACTTCTTCTTGTAGAAGAAGCCAGCCCTGAGCTCTGCCCTGTGTTCTGAGATGGAATCCCAGGCTCACCTGTTGGAAAGAGGCCGCGTTCTAGGCTCATCACAGGTATTGGTTCTGGATTCGGGCAGCCTGGGCCCCCATGCCAGCTTTCTCAGCAGTTGCTGTGGGCTAGTTATTTTCTTTACGTTTCAAGGTCTTCCTCTGGTAGGGTGGAAGTAACCTTCACCCCTGCGGGGTAGTGTGGGAGAATAGCAGGACCACAGAATATGAGTTCAGCTCCTCACAAGGGGATGAACTAACTGGGGCATAATCTGAAGGGCCTGGGGTAGAACCCAGGAGACTGCTGGGAATGTGGATCCTTCACTCTTCATTAGCAATATGTAAACAGAAGAATCCATCCCCAAAGCAAGGCAGCCTGCAAGTCCAAGGATGCCTCTTCAGGGACGAGCTGTTACCTTGGGTCACCCTCTTCCAGTTCATTTGGTACTTCTTTTCGCTCAGGCTATTGCTGTAGCCTCTCCTGAGAAATTATGAAGCCAATGGCCTGTATAGTAATGCCTGGGTGCATAGGTGACCCTGGGCGTGCAGCCAACCCTCGTGCACTTTACATTTCCGTAGGTTTACTGGATTCTACATGTTTAATTTCCTGAAAGAAGAAAGAACTACATACTAATAATCAAATTCAGAACTTTGGAATGTAAAGCAATACTCTGAGTTTTTACAGGGTGGAATTTGCCCAAAGGAGAAAAAAAAAAAGATATCGTTGGGCAGGGAGGACACAATCTAGTCAGCCCTAGCCGTGCCCTTTTTATTTCAACAACAACAACACAACTGGAGGATAAAACAGGAAGGATAGCAATAATCAAGCTATCATATCAATAACTGCTCACTTATCTGGGTCAGAAGATATCTAAACTGCTTCCCTCTCCCGTAGTAACAATAACAATACTGTTCTTGAGCTGGTCCTTAATCACCTCTATTCTCCTTTAATCTCCTGGCACTTCCAGTGATAAAAACCAAGGTTCTGAGACTCTCCAGATCCCAGATTAAAACACGGACTGCGGACTGCGGAGGAGTCAGATCTTGGGGCTCAGATCCTCCTTCCTCCTCCCCCACTCATGTGATTTCCATGGAACAACTCCACATCACTTAAGGTCCCTCCTTTTGTGTCTTAGCCTTTTGTCTTTTGCAAAGACACCCTTCTGCTAACTTCTCT